GCTGATCGCCCTGCGGCTCTGTGTGACAGGGTACGGCGCCCCAACCCCCTGATAGGCCCTGCTCTGTTGGTGACAGAGGGCGGTGCCCCAACCTCCCCTCCTCCCACAGGCCCTGCTCTGTGTGTGATGGGGTAGAGCCATAGCCTCCCCATCGGCCCTGCCCTGAGTGTGAGAGTGGCGGCACCCTAACCCCCTGATCGGCCCTGCTCTGTGGGTGATAGAGGGCGGCGCCCCAACCGCCCCCCACAGGCACTGCTCTGTGTGTGACAGGGTAGAGCCATAACCTCCCCATCGACCCTGCCCTGAGTGTGACAGGGTACGGTGCCCCAACACCCTGATCCGCCCTGCTCTGTGTGTGACAGGGTGCGGAGCCCCAACCTCCCTGATGGGCCCTGCTCTGTGAGTGACAGGGGGCAGTGCCCCAATCCCCTGATTGGCCCTGCTCTGTGCATGACGGGGGTGGCGCCACAACCTCCCCATTGACCCTGCCTTGAGTGTGACAGGGGGCAGTGCCCCAAACCCCCAATTGGCCCTACCCTTAGCGTGACTGAGGGTGGCATCGCAACCTCCCGATCCGCTCTGCTCTGTGCATGACGGGGCGGCGCCCCAACTCCCCAATCAGCCTTGCTCTGAGCCCAACCAGGGGCTGCACCTAGGGATTGGGCTTGCCCTCTGCCACCTGGGAGCAGGCCTAAGCCAGCAGGTCGTTTTCTCCCAAGGGGTCCCAGACTGCTAGAGGCTGAGAGATCCCCTCCCTTCCCCCCGATTTGTGCACTGGGCCTCTAGTCTATATATATAAAAGCCTAAGGGACCGGACGACCAGTCAGTAGCTATGAGCAAACACTGACCACCAGGGGGCAGCCGCTCAACGCAGGAGCTGCCAGGCGACAGCATCTCTGCAGAGTGCCCTCTTGAACTCTGGAACCCTTCCAGAGTTGGACTGCCAGTTTTGGCCCAATCCTCACAGGTCAGGCTGAGGGACCCCACCTGCTGGAGGGACCCTGCTCACTCCACAGACTCCCTTCGAGCCCCAGCACCGCCCTGGGTGAGGCCGGCTGGGGAGGGACCGTGGAAGGTTGCTCCAGGGCACGTTCGGCCTATCTCTCCCAGTTCCGCTCCACCCGACCACCTTCTAATTAATTTCCTTTCAATATGCATGAATCCGTGCACCGGGCCTTTAGTATATATAAAAGGCTAAGGGACCGTCCGGTAGGTATGACATGCACTGACCACCAGGGGGCAGACACTAAGCGCAGGAGCTGCTGAGCTGCAGTGACTTACTTGGCAGTGGTGGTTCTTGGATGGCGCACCCAGAACCAGAGAGGAGGGAGCCCGATTCCTCACAGGGCTGTGCGAATTCGCCTTTGACGGTGCGTTATGTTGTTGCTGGGGCACTTTCAGCCCGAATCTGGTTTACTGCTGAGCTGCGGTGACTGCAGATGCCCCTCGAGCTGCGGCTCTGCCCCAGGTGCGGCCGACCCGGGAGGTTGGCTCCAGGATGTGTCCAGCCCGTCTTGCCCAGTCCTGCCCTGCCAGCCACTTTCTAATTAATTTCCTTTCAATGTGTATGAATCTGTCACTGGGCCACTAGTTTCTTGATAACAGGCAGATCCCAGATAGCCTCGGCTCCTCCTCATTTGTGAAATTTTGTTTGGCTGACCATTAGCGGAGAGAGGCACTTGACCATTCGACCACTCATTTTCTTAGGTGCACGGGAGAGCGTGTGCATGCTGGGCACATGTGCTGCCTGCTGAGAAGTGGAGCTCATCTCACCGCCTGCACATGTACATTTGCACTGCCAATCCGGGATTGTGGTACTGGGCTGAAGAATTCTGAGGGTGTGTTTGCCGACATGTAGAGGATTGCCCTTGGCAGAGACATGGCAATGGGCAGCTCCCCTAGTGTCCAGGATGGCCCTAGCCGAGTGGACTGCTGGTTAGGGGATGGCCCTTCTGGATAAGCTGGTCGGGCAGCTGAGAGCGTCCATAAAGCACACTGCACTCAGGCTATTCAGGCCATGTGTGAGATGCGGAAGTCCCTTTCTCTCTGCTCATCACCAGCTCTCTCACTGCTGCTCTGCTTGCTGCCCACCAACCAGCGCCATTTCCAGTGCCCATGGTTTCTGAATCTCCTCTCTGCTTTTTCATTTCCATATTCTGCGACAGCCCCTCTAGTATCCCCTTCCTGTCTCAGGAAAAGTGTCCCCACATCTTCCCCAGTTCTTGAGTGTGTGCTTTCTCTCCTGCCCCTGGATTAACTCCCAACTCCGTGCACAACACAGCGTGTCTCCCTTTCCTGTAGAAATCTCCAGCCTGCCTACCCTTCTAGTAGGTTGTCCCAGAAGGCTCCCATTGGCTCTGAATTACCCCCTGGTGGTCCCCGGTGCCCTGGTCTCTGCTCGCATGGGGCCTGCTCTAAAAGTCGGCAGTGACTTCCTGTATCACCAGAGTTTGGCCCCTTTCCTCAGTCCTCATTCTACTTTGTATTTCTCTGCAATGTTGTTTATTCTTTATTTACCCAGTAGATAATGTTAGTAACAAAGGATGCAGTTTTGCCATTGAGGAGTATACAGTTGATTGGCAGTTACAGTGCCCAGTGGTAATGACATCATAGATGGGGCAGGCGTCCTGGAGTGGACTGGTGCCCAGGTGTCCTCTTGTTCTATGTGAGATTTCCCTGGAGTAAAGCACACATACTGGCAAATGGGAATTCTCCCTCAAGGTGTAGTTTTTCTTAGTTTTAATGGATTGGTCACAGTGTTAGCACTGGCTGAGTCTGGTTAGTGTGGATGGCACATGGACGGACATGCTTGGTGATCCCTGTAGACGGCGAGCTGTTGTGTCCCCAGCTAGCATCTGTGAGATGCATGGCCTTCTTTATGAGGGTGCTCGTAGTCACCCTCTCCTCAAAGGAAGAGAGGCTCAGAATGGCTACTGCTGCCTGGTTAGAGCCCGAGAAAGAGGCAGCTACTGCTGGGGAGGGGGTGTGGCTGGGCATGTTTGGGGGCCAGGCTTAGAGTAAGTCCCTCCCTTCCTTTCTAGGGACACTCCCACATGTGTTTGAAGCCCTTGCCCAGTGACACGTGCGTGTGGCCGTTTGTGATCAGGGGTGAGGTGTACCTGACGGGCTTCCATGGGGCGGCAGCCAACCGTGGCCTATGCTGCCGGAGCCCAGGGAACTGGCTCCGAGCGTGCTTCTTTGTTGGCATGTTTCTGGCAAAAGCACACGCCACTGAGTGCATGGAGCAGACTCTGCCTAGTGCGGGGTGGCCATGGATCCAGCAACTCTTGTTGCTTTCTTTTTTTTACGTTTGCTTTTCTTTTGTCCAGGCCTCCATCCTGTAGGGTCTGAGGGATGGTTAATTGTGGCAGCTAGTCGCTTCACCTCGTGAACGGATCCATTTTATGTTTGCTTCCCTACCTTGTTCTCGGAGAGTTTATTACGCGGTACATGTCCATCTAGGTCACGGTTCTCAACCTGTGGGTCGAACGACCCTTTCACAGGGGTCACCTAAGACCATCTGAAAACACATATATACATACTGTTTTTGTGATTAATCACTATGCTTTAATTATGTTCAATTTGTAACAATGAAATTGGGGGTCACCAAAACATGAGGAACTGTATTAAAGGGTCGTGGCATTAGGAAGGTTGAGAACCACTGGTCTGGGTGGACTGTCCTTGACGATGAGTACTGTGCAGGCTTTCCGCTCTGCCTTCCCACGTGGGCCTGCATGGTCGTGCAGAGTGAGAAGTGTTTGGCACCACTTAAAATTGGCAAACAATGGTGTGTGCTGAGAGTCAGCATCAGCTGGAGGTTGGTGAGGACATGATGGTTGCTATCACAATGAATGTATCATCTCCTCAGGATTTTTTATACTGACTTTCAGTCTTCACCCCCTTTATTGCTCTGTGTCGTCCGTTGTCCGTGCCAATCACAGAGCTGCAGGGATCAGACCACATCGGGATCATTGCATTGAGTGGAAATGTCATACTTGTAATTTTATCCTCTTTTTGAGGGGTTACCAGTGTCCACCTAATGAAATGAGATGACCCTCTGCAGTGGGAGTGTTTGTGAGCTGACAGGCATATAATCTTGGCAGCTCAAAAGCAGTGGTGGTCTGAGCACTCTCGGAACAAAGCAGTGCCCTTTATGGCGAGAGACACTGCACTGCTGTGTGAGCACCTGCACCTGTCCTTACGGTAGACGTACAAGAAGTGAATGTGAGAAGGAAAAAGGTCTTACGGACTCCTCCATGCCACATGGAGATAGGAATGGAGAAATAGCACCAGGTAATGGAGCTTTGAGATGCCAGATACTAGTAATAAAATATCTGAGGAATTAGGAGACCAAAATAAAACCTGATATTTATAAAACAAATAATGGTGTGTCTTTCCTTGAATGTTTTAGAAAACCTCGAATCAATTCTCAGCTGGTGGCACAGCAGGTGGCACAGCAGTATGCCACCCCACCACCCCCGAAGAAGGAGAAGAAGGAGAAAGTTGAAAAGCAAGACAAAGAGAAACCCGAGAAAGATAAGGAAATTAGTCCCAGTGTCACCAAGAAAAACACCAACAAGAAAACAAAGTAAGTTCCGGGTAACTCAGCTTGTATGTTACTTTGCAGGTGAAGCAAAGCTATTTTTTTAATACCTCTTTTGGCACCCCGCCCCTTTAGACCAAAGTCCGATATTCTGAAAGACCCTCCTAGTGAAGCAAACAGCATACAGTCCGCCAATGCGACAACCAAGACCAGCGAGTCGAATCACACCTCAAGGTACTGACGCAGACTGCAAAGGTCAAGTGCTGCTCTGGTGGACTGAGTCCTCAAGAACCAGATGGTTTTGTGCCTGTGGGTTTATAGGCTGAGGGGTAGGGTGGAGAACTAGGTCTGAGACTGAGCTATGTGCGTGCGTGCGTGCGTGCGTGCGTGGGTGTGTGCGTGGGTGTGCAATACTTTATACCACTGTGGCCAAACAGGAGACAGATATGTTGATGATCACTTTGGAGTGGTCCGAAGCTTTGTTGACAGGCAGTGGTTTCTGTTGCTGCTGAGGTTAAGCTGCAGGTTTTGTGGTAGCTGTGGTATGTGGGGGTGTCCTGGATCTCTGTGTGGATGATGTCTGCCAGACCGCGTCTAACCCAGAGCTTATGTAACTGGCTGTTCCCTGTGGTGTTGCTTTCAGGCCCCGACTGAAAAATGTGGACAGGAGCACTGCACAGCAGTTGGCAGTGACTGTGGGCAACGTCACCGTCATTATCACAGACTTTAAGGAAAAGACTCGCTCCTCCTCCACGTCCTCCTCCACAGTGACCTCCAGTGCAGGGTCAGAACAGCAGCACCAGAGTAGCTCGGGGTCGGAGAGCACAGACAAGGGCTCTTCCCGCTCCTCCACTCCGAAGGGTGACCTGTCCGCAGTGAACGACGAGTCTTTCTGAAATTGCACATGGAATTGTGAAAACTATGGATCAGGGTCTGAAATTCAGATCTCCACCTGCCCATGCTGCTGCACCTGGAACCTTCTGTGGACATCGACCTGTGGGTGATGCTGCCAGGATCATTTCTGCTTGCCATGGGCATTTGGTCACCGAGGAATTTCGCACCCTGACGATTACTCTTGACACTTTTATGTATTCCATTGTTTTATATGATTTTCCTAACAATCATTTATAATTGGATGTGCTCCTGAATCTACTTTTTATAAAAAAAAAAAAAAATCTGCTGTGCACAATTTTCCATGTACATTACAACTGGTTTTTGTTTTTGTTTTGTTGGGGGTGGGCTGGGAGGGGGAGGGAACTTTTATTTATTGTGTTCACAAGCTCCATCCTCTCAGCATATCCTTCTAAGTTTATTTCTTTCTTCCAGTTATACTATGTACTATCAATTTTGATATAACTATATATAAATATAAAATTATATATAAAGGGTTATTTGAAACCAATCCATGGCAACGCTGGTGCTTGATACACTGTGAAGTGAGTACAACCTTGAACAGTTACAGACCCGGGACAGTCCCTTCTACGGAAGTGCGGACATTGCATTAGAATCGGTCTTACACAAGGTGTTTTCCCGCCCACGGGCAGCTTGGCTCTCTCATCTGTCTAAAGAGCACTGGGTGATAGGAAAACAGAGGTTTTTAAACAATATGATCTCCCATTGCAGGACTGCTCCAGAGCCGGCACTTGCAGCGGAAGCGCTGACCCCAGGTGCTGGCTGGGAGGCTCTGTCGATCAGCAGCACCCAGCGCGCCCCCCTGCCAAGGGCTGTGCGCACCCCGGCAGTGTGCGCAGTGCTATTCTCACATGGCGCTCGCTTGTGAAAACACGGTGTTCCATACGCGATTCCACCACTTCCCAGGCCCCTGCTCGGGGCTGAGGTCAGTCTATAAATTGTCGCTTAGCTTTAGGATTAAAACGGACTCAACTGCATTTTTGGTCGATACAAGAAGCAAATCCATGACACCACGCGCACAGGGCATTGCCCTGGTGGTTTTGTCATTGAAATTGGTTTGCCTCCTGCCCTCCTGTCCCTTATGCCACCAATTCAGTTGTGGGAATTGTTTTTCTTTCTTAAAACTCCACTCCTTTCTTGTCCTGATGAACAAAGGTGGTCAGCTGCAGGCCTCGCCTCCCTGCTGGGAAGGGCACTTCTGGGAGCCTGCCGTCTCCTTCCTGGGCCTGACGATAACGCGAGTAAACTCTGTTGTAAAGTTTCTTTTCACCCATTTTTACTCTCAGTGGAAGCGGGGAGACAAAAAACAAAGACCACTAAGGTTTCTACCCACTGGCGTTTTAAAATGCTTTGTTTGGCCTCATTTGGATTAGGGTCTCTCTTCTGTGTAACTCCCACCACTCATGTCCAGGTTCCCAGACTTCAGAGTCACTGCAGGGACTTGATGTCACCTTCCTTTACTTGGTCATAACTTAAGGGAGCCTGGGAGGCAGCTGGTTGTGAGGAAGCCCCACAGGTGGGCGTGAGAAATCTGGTATGCTTAAGAATAGAAGTCATTTCTGTCTGGAGGCCACAAGCAAAAAGAAAAAATGAACAGCTTGATTTGAGTAGCCGACAGGAAAGGTTCCTTTCCCATCTACATCAGACTCCGCGTCCCTCTGCGCCATGACCTCCATCTGCTCTCCAAGCACAGGGTCTGCAGCAGTGCCGTTGTTGTGTGGTCCTACTCGCAAACGCTCGGACAATGTCCCCTTTTGCAAGGATGCTTGCATCTGGGATGCAAGCTGTGCTTATCTTTTTAGATACCTTTTTCAAGTATTTATTAATGAACCAAAGGAAATCAAATGCTTTCTGTAAGTATCAGAATATATAATACATAGTGATTTGACTATGAATTTTAAATCCACAATTTAATATTAGTGGGATATTGCAAAGACATTCCTTCTAAAGTTTTAATATTCCTTTTATTAAGGGTCTCAGGGAGGGTAAATTAGTCAGCCATATTTATTTTCCAGAGATATAAGGAATTGCTAAGTTTGAAAATTAACTTTTTAATAAGAAAAATTAGATGTCACCAAACTCGTGGGTTGCACTGCTTTCCGAACCATAAGGTGTTGGTGTGCATTTCAGAAACACTGTGTAACTTCTCAAAATTAGTCTCCTGTAAAGTGATTGGACTCCTAGACTAGTGGGGGAAGCTGATGAGCCAGCTACTCGGCTGCTGATTCATGATGCAATGCCTTGGTGTTTTGGCTTTGCCTCCGACATGAATAGAGGACGGGAGGTGACGGGTGGAGGGTGCTTTAGGACAGGTGGGATGACATGGCCATTGTGATGAGACTGCAAGTGGCAGTGAAGCCTCGGGCCCATGTCCTGGGCCGGCCCCTGCTGCCTGCGAGCTGCTGAGGCCCAAGGTGGTGGGCACTGGAGGCTTAACTTCTGGCATTGAGGTTCCTCAGACATGTGCTCTGGAGACAGAATTCGTGGAACTTCCTGTATTTGCAGTTTGCCCTACAACAGGTGGGCAGTGTGTAGATTAGAAAGATACATATTAAAGGGTCAGAAATAACTGGTGTTCGGTGGCACAATAAGCAGGTTATAAAGCCAAAACAAAAAGCACAGTGTTACCCTTGCAAGGTTCCATTTGTTTTAACACCACCCGGTCTTCAGGCGAGCACAGAGCTTACCTGACATGCTCTGTTTGAGTCGAGCAGTTCAAAGGTGAAGTATTTTGACACCCACAAAATATTTCAGTCAGAGCCCTTCTGTTTCAATCTGGATATTTGAAAACAATGGCAGAAGCTTCTGGGAGTTGCGTGCCACAAAGACGTCTCACCTGCCTTATCAAGACCATTCTCAGCCTACTTTTCTAAGCTACCATATCGTAAATTATTGAAAATTTATTAATTGCTGAATATATAATAACCTTTGCTTGTATGTAACCGAAAATGGTTTAAGAGCCAACATTTAGAGTATGACAATGGAGCTGAACAGTTTTTAATGCGCAAGCAGTTCTGTTCTTGTGTATGACTCGTAACCTTAATTTACTGTGTAAAGATGGTTACATTATTTCCTTAGCTTTGTTTGTTGGAGACAAATAGAGAATGCTTGTTAAGTATGTCCAACATAATCTTGTGAATTTTTGTTACTGTATTATACAAGCTATATTTTTCATTTGCCCAGGAAGACAGCTTGTCTCGCTTCGGAGGTTTCTGCTCTGTCGTCTTTATAGCCGAGTCTTAGGTCTGATTTTTCTTCATGCGAAAGTGTCAGTTGGTGGTTTTGTGAACTGGTCAGAAATTCGCAGGTCTGAAATGTTGGGGGGAATTTATATTGGACACTGCTCTCCGTCTAGCAAATAAAGATGTTAATATATTCCTGTCGCTGGCATGTGCACGACTGTGTGATTAGAAGCCACTTTATCATTTTCCTGCTTTAAATAGAAATGTCTATTTATGAATTCTGCTTGTAGTTTTTTCACAAATAAAATAGTAAAATTTACATTGAAATCTTAGTTTTGTGTGGGAAATGGTTCCTTTTCGAACTTAGTTTGTGAACTGGTAGAGTATGCCCACTGGGAGCAGGAGGCACAAGGCGTGTGGGGAGCAGGCGTGGCTCGGGGCGTGGTGCAGGAAGTGCTTGGGCAAAGGATGGCCAAGTTCTGGAAGGAAACGAGCGATGTCATGCGCATCCTTTGGGACCGATGCGGTGAGCTGAAGGAGGCAGTGATGCTGAAAGCCTCCGCGATGTCTCCAGAGCGCCAGGGCCATGCCCGGGACTGCTGGTCCCGTCAGCGCTTGCACCAGCACTGAAGGGAAGGGACTAGAAATGGCTCAGGACCCTCATTTGAAAATAGGTTGGTCCTGGTAACAGCAAGCTTGGCACGTTCCCTTGTCCTTGTCCTAATTTCCCGGGGTCAAACCCAAGTCCAGCCCCTCCAGAATCTGGCAGGTTGAAGGGTGGGGCTCATGGTGTCTGGTGTCTCCCAGGGGCATTGTGGGTGCAGGTAAAGTGACAGGCTTTCTGTGCTACCTGAGGGTCAGTCCTTGCTGGGCACTGGCTTTACCATTTGGGAGGATGAGAGCTGTCCCCACACTAGACAGCATGCAGCAGGGGTGGGTCCCAACAGTGAAAGTGCAAGGGGATCCTTTAGGGGAGGGAGGATGGGGAGGGAGGCGAGGCTCACCCCAGCGTGGGGCTATGTTCAGATGCCTGCGGGAATGCCCTGGCAGGAGTGGGGTTCCATTGTGCTAAGAAGCTCTTGCTGAGTTAATCTTGGTCAAGGGTAGGAAGATGTTTTAAGCTGGAGAGTGCCCAAGCTTATGCTCTGCTCTCAGCATCTTCCTGGGCAGCCAAGAGGAGATGAGAGCAGTCAGGGGGGCCCTTGGTCCCTGACTCCAGCAGTTCTGAGGGGCTACTCGGAAACCTTGATGCCACAGCAAGGAATGGGTTAGAGGCCGTCCTGTGTTGGGATTAAAAACGAGCGTCTGCTCAAACTCCTGTTTGAGCATCTAAAGGAGCCAGTCCAGTCCAGCCACAGGACATGGCTTTTGTCAGGAAGGGCCGTTAAGCTCAATAAAGTGGGCCCTGAAGGCTCAGATTTTTATTAGAAAGTTCGTAGGGCACATCTGGAAAGATGGGGTGAGGCTCAGAGCCTGTACTGAAAGGAGACATTCGGATGGGTGGGGTCAAGCCGCCTGTGTGGGCAGGAGCCCCGGCTGGGCGGACTTGCTGTGAGGCAGGCAGGGTGCAGGGGGACACTGGGCAGGCCTCTCCCAGGGCAGGTGCAGGTGCTCTTGATGCCACCCCGGCTGCCCCCTCAGCTGTGCCAGGCATCGCTAATCAGCACTCCTGGTCAGCGATTCACTGCGCATCTCCACCTGCTCTGGTGCCACGGCCCCATGTTCCTGTGAGTTACAATTCGTGTCATTCCCGCCTGGACACACTCACCCAAAGCCCCTGGGACGTGCACAGCGTGCTGACTCAGCTCTCCGATTGTGGGGCGCTCCCTGGAGGGAGCTGGCGAGCGGCTTGGAGGGTCAGGAAGAAGGGAACTCGTATCCAACACCCAACTCTTGCAAAGGCTCGGCCCCTCTTCAAAAGTGGACCAGACCAAGCGGCCGGCGCAGCTCTAAATACCAGACGCACGGCCAGCCAGCCATGCAGGCCCGATGGGACCTGCCCCAGCTGCCGCTGGGAAAGGCGGCCGCGGGCTCGGCACAGGTCACCGTGCTGAGGGCTCCGGGAAACCGCATGTTCTCCTGTGGCGTCAGCCACCTCACCTGCCTGGGTGCCAGACCGGCCTCCGGCTCACTATCTCATCTGGAACGCCTCCCCATACCCTTCCCCTGCTCCAGGGCCCTGGGCCAGTGCCCGTGCTTGCTTGTAATATGCTGTGTTTTTAACGGGAAGCAATGATTTTTTCTTAACAATTTTTCTAATGCTTTACTGATGTCAACACCTGGCATGAATGAAAGGGCTTCTTTTTGTTTTGTGATTGTTTTATCTTGTTTTCAAATGTCAGATGTATTTGTTTTCTTGGCCCAGAGGGAGGGGCAGTTGGTCACATGGAAATAAAGCCCCTGGTAGTGTTGACAGCTGCCCCGTGTGTCTGTGTCTGTGAATAGTGTTTACAATGAGCATGGCTTTTCTTCATTAAAAGTGTGTGTTTTACGCTGCTTACTGCCCTGGTATTAGTAAGAGAGAGCCAGTGTGGAGCCTGTGGGAGAGGAGCGATCTGCAGAGTGCTGGCACCCCGCACAGTGGGCATGTAGTGAGCGTCAGTGCTGGGTTACGTGTATGCACTTGACACACAGGAGTGGCGTATTAAGAATGAAAAGTTTCAAACTATTTTTCAATTACAGTTGACGTACGATGTTCTATCAGTTTCAGGTGTACAGCAGCGGTGCAGATACACCTTACAACCCATCACCCCGAGGAGTCTCGTGCCACACAGTGGGGTTTGTTAATTCAGGCACGAATGGCGCAAGCTCCTGACAGAGAGGCATCTGGGCTGCAGGCGCACTAGACCAGCCACCGTGCCCTCAGGGTGGCCCTGGGTGAGCGCTGTGGTCGCCCGGAGCCGCCACCAGCAGCCTCCCAAGGAGGGGCTCCCTGCGGGGCCAGGTGGATGTGCATGCGCTGTGCCTCCGTCGAGGGGCCTGGTCCCCACGTGGGAAGTGGCCGTGGCGGGGATGGCAGCGCCTGCCAGGTGGAGGGAGAGTTGGTGCCGGCCAGGCACCCCAAGCGGCTGGGCCCTCTGACGAGTGGCACTTGCAGAGTCACGCTGACAGGAGGACAGGCAGCAAGCAACCAGGTAACCATCACCTTTTCCCCCTTGGGGCAGACCAGGGGCCGGCTACCCTGGGAGGTGGCCAAAGGCGAAGACCACTTTGGTGGGCACCCGGCCAGGCTCCCTGCTTTTCTGTAGAAGCTGACAAATCCAAGTCGGAACTTTTGCCCAGACACGGGCCTGGAGACACGTGATGGGGGTGGGCCCTGCGGCAGCTCCGCCCATCCTGACGCCACCACTCTGCCCGTTCTGCGTGGCGGAGAGGAAAGGTGTCCCAGTTCAGGGACACCCTTCCTCCACCTTCCTGTGCTATTGGGCCCTCCAGGGGTGGGATGGGGCCTCCCACACTGCTGAGGGCAGATCTTCCCGACTTGGTCACTGATTCCACTGCTAATTTCTTCCAGACACACCCGCACAGACACACCCAGAAATAATTTTAACCAGCTGTCTGAGTGTCCCTTGGCCCAGGCAAGTTGACATGTAGAATTGACCACCACACACTACTATTGGGGGTTTTTCTGTTATATGCAGATGATAAAAAAAATCCTAGTAAAACTGGTGCTTCAGCAAAATGTGCTACATTTTTTTTTAAATATATTTTATTGATTTTTTTACAGAGAGGAAGGGAGAGGGATAGAGAGTCAGAAACATTGACATTGACCAGCTGCCTCCTGCACACTCCCTACTGGGGATGTGCCCGCAACCAAGGTACATGCCCTTGACCGGAATCGAACCTGGGACCCTTGAGTCCGCAGGCTGACGCTCTATCCACTGAGCCAAACTGGTTAGGGCAAAATGTGCTACATTTCTCTCATATAGGGTCCTGTGCCCGGGTTTGAGTGGCAGGGCCCATGGGCAATGCCAGGTCTGAAGCTGGTAGATTTAGGGTAAGATCCAATTCTCACTTGGCAGCTGGTTGGCCTTGAGTTTTCCTATACAATGGATGCCTCCCAACACGCTGCTGTGTTCAGTTCAACACACTGGTCATGATGGTCTGCTTTGTGCTGACACCGTTGACCTGCAGTAGGGGAGGCATCCTCGAGGGGAGGGCTCTGACGTGCCGCGTCAGCTCTCCGCTCTCTGCTCTCCGACTTAGCTCTGCTGCTAGGGATTTTTGAAGAAAGACTCAAGTTAGACCTTAAATCAGAGGTGATTCAGAGGTGTGGTGAAGTCCTTGAAATTATTTACTAAAAATGTGTGGCTTTTATTGCAATTATGCATTTCTACAGAGGGCAGTGTTTTGAGGTTTTATTGGATTCTAGAATGGTTCCATGATCCCAAATTGAAGTGCCACTGCAGGCTAAGAAGGATTCAGATGATTTTGGTATGGCTCTCTTTTCTCTTCTTCTGAATGATGTCCTCCATGAAAAGAAAGAATCCAAATTATTCAGAGAATGTGATGGCCGTATGAGTTAATGGGGCCCTGTTGAGGTAGCTTCAAACTGAAGAAATCCTCACTGTAGTCAGCTCAAGCTATATTTTGCTACTATAACAAATGCCCTTAAAGCTCCAAAGCTGACAACAAAGGTGGGTTGTCACCCACACTGAAATCTCTCACAGCTCCATTTCGTGTCGCCTTTGCTCTGGACACCGGCCAATGGAGCAGCCTCTCTCTGGGATGTCAGAGTCAGTGTTCAGGCAGAAGGGACAGTGGCCCGTGCTCGGGCCCGTCAAGCCTCTGAGAGGTCACTCATGTGTCTGCTCACATGTGATGAGCTAGAGTCGCATGGCCGTGCAAGACTGGGTGGGAGCTGTCCCACAGGGAGGGCAGCAGATACTTGGGGCATTAATCAGTCTGCCACATCATTTTATTGGAACATAGGAATGCAAACAGAAATTGACAAGAACTAGAATGAACTAAATCTGACCTAGTTCCCTCCATTCCACTCCCCTAAGCATATTCCAAGGAAACTGATCAGAAACACCTGTTTTTCCATTCTTTTTTTTAAATTCTCACCCAAGGATATTTTTTCCATTGAGTTTTAGAGAGAGTGGAAGAGAGAGGGACAGAGAGAAACATCGATGTGAGAGAAACGCATTGATTGGTAGCCTCCTGCACGACCCCTGACCAGGGCCCAGATCAGGGAGGAGTCTGCAATTGAGGTATGTGCCCTTGACCATCATTGAACCTGGGACCCTTTGGTCCACAGGCCAACGCTCTATGCACTGCCCCACACTAGCCAAGGCCCTGTTTCTCCATTCTGGCTGCGTTGTTAGAGTCA